TTTTTTTTTTGTAAAGGGTATGAAAGTTGTTAGAACCATAATGAAGTGTTTTCTCATTATTAATGATTGTCTCTATTCCCCCACATTGCGCATTTAAAGCCCTGTGTAAAATCCTCGAGCAACTGCACCAATGATCGTACCCATCACTGTACTGCTATATATTGAAGAGAGGATACAGAAACATGAATGTGTCTTGAAGATTTGCAGCAGTGTCGCTAGAAACATTTAATGAGGTAACTTCTTGTTAGTTTTATTAGTGAATCTGTGAATGTATAGCATGTCTGTAACCAGGGTATGGAGAGAGATTGCAGTTGAAAAAGATGGCACATTGACTAATTCCAGCTTGACTTTTTGAGTGGTAGTGGATAACACAAGTAATAAATTTTCAAGATTTGATCCCTTAGTTTAGATTGTCTTCCCTCTCCACCCACAGTTGAGCCCTTTGACATTTTCTGTTCTATTCATCCCTTCTCAGTTCTCACAGATCTAAACATGAGTGGCATCAACACTTTATTCATAGCAATTCTACTTCTTACAACCACAGTAACTTTTTGTGTCTCCGACCAACTTTCCCAAATATCCGATTCAAAAGCCAGCAACAACAGAGGTGAAGCTAGTTTTGGGATAACAGGAACAAGCAAAGATGCTAGTTATGTTTCTCTAGTAAATTCCGGGTCTAACAAAGTTGGGGTCATAAAGGGTTTTTCTGTTCCTTGCAGAGATCAGGGACCTTGTTAGAAGACAAGACAGAGCTGATGATGAAGCGTGAGCAATAATGACTGCAAGAAGATGATGTTTGTTGCTTATTTTTTTCAAAGCAGTAGAGTAGACTAATTAAAATGTCAAATAATTTTGCTGATAAGAAAAGTTCTATTTTCAAATTATGATTTGTGGCATGGATCAAGTATAAAATTATACACTAGTGTATGTTTTCCGTATCAAGTTTTGTTTTTGTTGTTTTTATTGGTAAGCGGGGTTAAAAGGATTCTACCCAATTTAAATTACGTGGCAAAATTTATATCAAACAATCACCTGCTGACGTATTTTGAACCCACAACACTTTGAAAAAGGAATGCTACCGTCTAGCAACAAGTTCATTTGCCAAAAATGTTGTGGTAAACCTGTTTTTCCATATAACACAGAAAAAATTATAGCAGTATAGCACATAAAATTTTGGTGTCAAAGCATGTTTGCGCATTGCAAAGATTCTCCAACTACATACACTTTGCTTGACTTGACATGGGGATGACTAGTGGTCAAGACTCTCTAGTGGATGTCAAGTCACAACTCACTAGTAGAAGTAGCAACATGGCACAGTGTTCATATCAAAACAGTGACCAGTACACATCGCATTTAAAGATATAGAGAGTGCAAGTATGCTCCATCAATGGACCACATTTGAGTCGAGAGTCCAAAGCTTGTTCTGTGCAGCATGCGTGACAAATTGGCTACTCATTGCTACCTGTACATCACCTGCTTTTTCATTGCTAATGACACCACCAATACCAAACTTAGCTTCAGTCACAGAACCATCAATATTAAGCTTGACTTTCCATGCTGACAGTTCCATCAATAGTACACTGCCTTCTTAGCCTTAAAATGGACTGAGATGCCCAATCTTTGTATTATTGTTTTAGCTGGTTGATCTTGTGTCTTGGATGTCACATTACATCTCCTGTATGCATAGTTCAAAAAGCCGAACATATCCAAAAATTCAGCAATCGGATAGGTAAAAGGTTCGAATATAATTTGGTACATAAATTGGCCCATTTCGAATCGGATAATTGGATTATTCACGGATATCCGACAGAACACCAGAATCACGAATTAGAGGTGTCAATTGGTCGGTTTCGGTCGGGTTTGACTGGTTTCAATTTGGGTTTGACTTTTTCCGGGTTTAGGAGGTTTTAGTGTTATTTTATGAAAACCCAAAACCTAACGGATTTTAACCATCAGTTTTTGTCGGTTTTCGGTTCCGGTTTCGGGTTTTTTGAAATTACTATAAAAATATTAAAATTCTTAAATTATGATA